GGGCAAGACGTAAAAATATGGAGCCGACCAAACTCTTCTTTTGTAGGAACAAAAAGCGATGCATCTTCGCGGGACAGAGAAAAACTAGACTGAATATAACATCTTTGTTGCCAGGCCGGTTGAACTCAGTGTAGACTATAAAAATCCTTCTGTTTGGAGGATATTTGGCACAAAAACCGCTAATTCATCATTATGAAGGGAAGCGAACTATAGGCTCATAATTGTCCTCTCCGAGTTTTTTCGCTCTTGCGACAGTTTGATTAGACACTTGTCTATCTAGTTTTTTCGGTTTCCCAGCTTATATTGTGACTGAGAACGTTTTCTATTTTATCTTGACGGATATAAAATGGTTCTCCTAAAACAATTTCAAACCTTGCATTTTGATTTTTTCAAATGGTTTTCACAGATAAAAAAAAACATTCGTACAACTTTATAGGATACACAATTCAGGATAATGATTTGAACAAGTCTTTTTTCAATGCTTAATTGTTATAAAAAGCAGGACTGTGTATAAATTATTAATCCTGTCTCAAGTATTAGTCAATTTGAGGTCGCACAGCTTTGAAGACCTTGTAAAATCGACTAGAAAAATGCATTCAAAACTAGGCAACTGATTTTGGCATCCATAGCGATTCGAAGTCACACAAAAATGCAAAAACATCGCATCTTAATCAATTGCACTTGAAACTTTTTGTAACTTTATATTTTTTTGAAAAGAAACTCGATTATAATTGACTTTAATCGATTATAAGGGATTATATAGGGATTATGTGGCTTAGAAAAATACTAATTCTTACATTTTTTTTCAATCATCAATCATAGTCGATTATTTTTCTAAATTTATAGAGACTGTCTATACAATGACATTATAATCGACTATTACACATGAAACTCTAGTACGGGTGACGGTCAACAGTTGATCGGTTTTTGACTTCAGTTATCAGAATGTTAGTCTTCATCAAATACAACAAAATCGCCTTTCTCGCATTCCGTTTTCTTTATCGCTATTTGGAATCTGGTTTTTCTTAGAGCACTCATTGGATTACTGTTCCTACTTTCGATACGAAAGTAACGGAATATTTGTTCTCGGGGTGGGTTTTTTCTTCTTCAGACAATTTTCGAATTTTTAACTTGCCTTTTTTGACGTGCTTTTTATGTCATTCAAAAGGTATTGTTGACTTGAGCTTGAATTTGAAAGGATATTTCACCTGTAATCAATTTACGTAAATTTATGAGGGGTTAAAAAATTTTCAACTTTAGTCAATTTGCGAAAATTAATGCGCGATATATTTCTCGCTCTTAACGCGTAAGCGGAGATTTAATCCGTCTTAGAAATCGTTCCAAATTAACTGAAAGAAGCTTAATTGAAAGAATTGATTTGTTACAAGGAGCTAAATCTATTCTTTTATAGTTCATATGGCGTGTGAGGAGATGATTTTTATAGAAAAAAACTTCAATTTTTTTTAATACTTTTAATTTGTTAATCATATGTATGTTATAACTGCTTCATAAACCTTAAAAGGCAGTCGGAACATTCAGGGCTTCGCCCTGATACGAGCAGTCTCGTTAATTTGATAGTGAATACGTTGTGAATCAGTGATAGAACTGATAGTGAATACGTTAAGCCGTACATCACTATTGCACTATTGTTTCTATACTATGACATAAACAAGCCTGCTCGTACCAGGGCAAAGCCCTGATTATTCCGACTGCATTTTAATTCTATGGAGTAGTTTAATTTGAAAAAGTTGGTGAAATTGTCAAAAATTGGAAGAAAACTCCAACTTTGTTTTGAGTTTTTTTTGAAAATCAACCCACAACCCGCTAAGAGCATGCCTCAGTCCAATTTGGAACTTTATTAGCGTTAATTGTCAATAACTGCTAGTTAAAAAGTCGAAATATGTCTGGATAAAATAAAAAAACCACCCTGAGCACAAAACTTTTGTCATTTTCTTCAGAAATTGTCGGAGCAACAAACAAGCCAATGGCTTACTGAGTTTGCCACTGACTTGCACAGACTTGTGTTTTGATATAGCAATTGGGTAAGTCTAATCTTAGCCCGCAAGAAACCACTATAAAATATTGGAACATGTCTCCGACGCTTTTTTAGAAGTTTATTTAGTCCACGTGATAAATTACGAAGTTTTCTACGAAGTTTGGGTAGTGGCTCTGTTGTTTTTCCAATATTTGAAAAACGAATACATAAAAATTTACGACATAGTTCCTAAAAAATGAATAAAAGTTAGTGAGTTGATTTTGATATTCTCAAGTGGTCAAAAACTAAAACACATATTGTTCAAAGTCTCCCAATCAATACTTTACTACAATTTCTGTTATTTAATATGCAAAAATAACGGAAAAGTCCAGATCAAAGATCAGTTTAAAGCTATGGGTAAATTGGAGTGACAAATGAACACCTTAAAAGTAGGCCAAACAAATTGATCTATAACTTTATTTGGAAGTTTTTACTCAGTGATCGTTGCTTATTTCTGACCCCACCTCTATTTCAGGGTCTAAGAAAAGAGTTAACGGATAAAGTTTCAAAAAAATCGGCTATGATAAATTCAGTGGTACACTAGGTTTCCAGTGTTTTTACAAATTGCTCTGCAATATTTAAAGTCGGCTGGTATTTTCACAAGACATTGACTATCGGATGTCATTTCACCTCTAGGTTAATTATTATAACAGACAGTTAAAACCGACAGATACAAGATTTCGACAGGTAGCGTAGATTCATTAGGAAATCAGTTAAGTCCTCATTGAACACTGCTCCCGTTTGCACTATTTAAAAACTTTTTAGCCAATCAAATTGGAAATCTATTTTTTTGCCACTTGAGCAATACCTTTTACGGAAAAAAATGAGCGCTAAAAGGCGCTATTATCTGTCAAAAAATTGTGCTGCCTAAAAGACATTAATGAAATTATTTAAGATTGATTGGCCAAAATTGTAGTTTCTTAGTTCATATGGGAACATTTTTGAGGGAGGAGCACACTGATTTCTAAAAGAATCTACGCTACAGCCCTAGGAAAAATTTATCAGATCGAACATTGAAATGCAGCAGAATTTCGTCGTTTTTAGTGACTATTATGTTCATGCCAGTTTTATTGAACTTTACAAAATTTTGCTGGTCGTTAAAATAAAGTTTGATAATCATGCTACATTGTATTAGAATAAAAACAAGGTAAACGAAAAGTTATATGCAAAAAATAAGACGCGCAGGGAGTTCGGAAAAACGGTTTTTTGCTGTTGTTTGAAGTCAAAAACAGGACCGATAAAAAATTGTTTTCAGAACTGCATAAAAATTTCAGTTTCAGTTCAAGTAAATCTACAGATGAATCAGTATGTGGCTAGGAGTAGCCAAAAAACATCAATTAGGTTGATTTTTAATGTTTTTTCCGGTAGTGTTCTTCTACATAGAAACCTAATAAAAATCCGATCAAAGGAAGAGCTGAAATCGAGTAATTTTGAAGATAATGCAACTAATCATTAAAAATCCGAAAAGAACACAACAAAAATTGTTACAAAATATGGTATCGTATTGGTTAAGGTATTCTACTTAAAATTTTTGAAAGTTTATTGGGTTACATCACTGATTGTGTTACCAGACAATAAGAAGTAAGTGTCAGTTACAGATTCAGAAAAAAATTGTAGTCCATAAAATTATTTAACAAATAGATTTTGAAGAGTTTTTGAAAATTAGCGATTGGAATGAGAATTTTGGAGCCAAAAGGTTATATTTTTAATTCAGCTCGGAAAAAAATTGCATTCATTTTCCCTTAATTTGTTAAAATATAATTTTCACCTAGGCTAAGACTAGCTAATCAGATTTGTTCAGTTAACTTGATATGATTAGTTTTACAAAAACTTGTACACATTTTTTGGCAAAATATTCACCCAGAGTCAAAAATTTTGAGGTTTACTCGAAGTTACGAATTGAGGGTTGCACGGCAAGTTACTGAAAAATTTTGCGTCCCGGTATATATGTGTTTGTTGACGGCTTCACAGATGCAAAAAACTTTTCTTTTTTTCTTCCACGCAAAAACAGGTACCACATAAAGTAATTGAACTGCGTTGAGTGATATATCGTATTCAAGTTTTTCGGTCGTGATTCAATGAACTGTGAAATACGTTCAAAAAATTTTCCCGTCTTCAAGAAAAATCGGTTTGAATTTTTTGATTTTTGGCTTTTTTTGAGCGAGTTAAGCGAGTAAATCAGTTAAGCGCATTTATTTAGTAATCTTTATAAGTGGAGAAATATTATGTTATAAAAGCTGTTCAGCTCTGATTCATGCGACAATAAATATTTTTTTAAAAAAAGTTTTCCCAGTACTGAGAAAAACTGGTTTGAAAATTTTGAGTTTAGTCTAATTTCGAACAAAAAATCAAGCGAGCAGGCTTTTTTAGAAGTATGAATCTTGAAACTTTTTTTTCGTAGCAGTACAAAGAAATTTCGAAACTTTTCGGTCATTTTTGTGCTAAAATTTTTCCAAATTTTGAAAAAATCCAACAATATTTAAAAATTTGAAATTTCCCCGTTTTTCATGCTTTCTTTCAATTAAAACCGTTCCCAATTACCGTGTTTTATTGTAACTGTCTAATAAACCAAACTTCTAGGTTTTATTCATAATCTTTTATCACACTGTGAGAAAATTCTGCTTTTTGCTTCGCCTCCATTGAAATGACACATATTGTACTTGAAATTTCTGAATAACCAAACCAACTCAAGAAACAACATATTCTTGGAATGTTGTCCCGCACTGAAAAAAATGGATTTAGATCAATTTTAGTATAAAAAAAGTAAGCTGATTAAAATGAAATCGATTTAAGTTGTAGAAAAGTTAGTTAATCAAAAAGAAAAATTCAGATAGATTTGGATACGTATCTAACTTGCATTTAATTTTTATCTTTTTTCTTAAAACGCATGTAATGAAGAATTATTTAAAATGCATTGGTCTTCATTTTTCTTACGCATGCTGTCATTCACCACATTATAAAAAATCAGCTGGCCTTTTACTTGATTTTCTAAAGCAAAGTTGGTTTCATATATTTAGTAGACCGAATAACAAAAAAAATACATATATTTTTTCTCCCCTGGTTTTACTTCTCAACGAAGGTAACATTTCATCTATTTTCATTGTTTGCTGTTATTTTGCATTCAAATAGATTTTCAATTTAATGGATTATAATGGACTTTTAAAACAATTGAATATAATGGTCAAGTATGTCCCTGCAACCTCCAGGTCACCCCTTGGAGAACGGGCTGGCGTATATCTTATCTTGTTCATTCTGTAACAAAATGAGGCCTAAAATCCATACAAAAACACAATCACCTGTAACTAGTCGAAACCCTACGGGCCCGATTTTTGAATACCACTTCTGTACTTTCAACTCGGCTGTTTTTCCTTCTCCTCTCCCCGAGTATCATTCTTGTGGTTCAACTAGTGGTTTTATAAAGTTCAGTACATGAAGACCAAATGTGTTTGTCAAAACTTACTTCATCCATTTGCCAGTTTTAATAAAAATTGGATGATGTGAACAAATCTTCTACTGGTGGGGGGATTCAAAGATGGGGGAAACGGGGGGGGGGCATCAATCTATGCTGTACCTTTTTCTCCCCCATTTCAACCCAAACTTCCCCAATACAACCCCCATTCCACATATGCCGACGATCATCGATTCCGTTCCCCCAAACCCTCACTCATACCATCCCTCACGTACCCACCCCGCCGCATCCGACCATTGCCTCTCCTCTTCCCCTGATGACAAATGTCTCTCAAACCACACCCAGATTTCCCACTACAACCCAGGTACTCCCAACAAAATTCCCATTCCCCCATGTCTGGCGATCGTCCTCCTTGTTCTTTAACACCCACTTTCAGACGCCCCCACCATCGAGCCTGCTTCTCCACTTGTTGACAACTGTCCCTCAAACCGTACCCAAAGTCTCCCCTCAAGCCATGTATTCTCCAACACAACTCCCATTCCACATATGCCGACGATCCTCCTCTCGTTCTCCCAAACCCTCACTCACACCATCCATCATGTACCCACACAGCCACATTCGCTTATTGCCTCTCCTCCTCCCTTGATGACAACTGTCCTTCAAACCGCACCTCAGGTCTCCCACTACAACCGAGGTAACCACAAAAACAATCTCCTTTCTCCTCATAACTTACGATCCTCCTCCCCGTTCCCGCATCCCCTAACTCACGTCATCCATCACCTACCAACCCCACCATATCACCTTTTTGCCCCTCCTCCTCCTCCCCCTGTTGAAAACTGTCCCTCTAAACGCGTCCCAGTTCTCCCACATTTCAATCCAGGTATCCCCAAACACAACCTCCTTTCTCCATTCCGACGATCCTCCTACCCATTCTCCCAAAACCTCATTCATACCATCCATCACTTAGCCCTCCACCAAATCCGCCCACTTCCTCTCCTCATCTCATGATAACTACTGTCCCTCCAACCGCATCCCAGGTCTCTTATATTTCAACCCAGGTATTCCCCAACACCATTCCCATGCAGCCATGTCGAAGATTCTTCTCGTCGTTCCCCAATCCCCCACATTCACAACGGCAACCATCACGTAACCAACGCGCCAAACCCTGTCATCGGGCCGCCTCCTCCTGATGAAATGCCGGCGATCTTCCATTCCGCTCCCCCAAACCCTCACTCATACCATCCACCGTGTACCTACCCCGCAACATCCGTCCATTGCCTCTCCTCCTTCCTTGATGACAACTGTCCCTCAAACCGCACCCCAGGTCTCCCACAACAACCCAGGTATCCCCAACACATCCCCCATTCCCCCATGTCCGACGATCCTCGTCCCATATCGCAACCTCCCCTCCATTTACACCACCCACCACCTCCCTACGCCTTCAAGTCCCCCACAGCACCACCTACTTCCAATGATGCTACTGTTCTCCAACCTCACCCCAGGTCTCCCACTACAACCCAGGTATCCCCCATGTCCGAAGATCCCCTACCCGTTCCTCACCCGCCATCTTCAAAACACGCATCATGTCTACACGCATCAACCCCACCGTGCTTCCGCCTCTTCCTGATGACAACTGTCCCTCCAACTGAACACCCAGGTCTTCCCTCAGTTCAAGCCAGGTACTCCCCAACAGCATCCCATGCACCCATGTCGAAGATATTTCCCGTCTTTCCCCAACCCCCCCCCCTACTTTCACAATCGCAACTCTCACGTAACCAACGCGCTAAAACCTGTCAACGCACCTTCTCCTCCTCCTGATGATGACAAATGTCTCTCCAACTGCATCCCAGTTCTCCCCCACTACAACCCTGGTATTCCCAATACAGACCCCATTCCCCATATGCCGACTATCCTCCAATACTTTTCAGAAACCCTCACTCATACCATCCGTCATGTACCCACCCCGACACAGCCATCCATTGCCTCTCCTCCTCCCATGATGACAACTGTCCATCAAACCGCACATCACTTACCCCCACTACAATCCAGGTATCCCCAAAACATTCCCCATTCCCCCCAAGTCCGACAATCTTCGTCCCAACAGGCAACCCCCCATTTACACCACCCATCACCTCCTTACTCCTTCAAGTCCTCACCCCACCACCTACTCCCCCTGATGACAACTGTCCCTCCACCCTCCAACCGCACCCCAGGTCTCACACTGCAAACCAGGTATCCCCCATGTCCGCAGATCCCCTTCCCGTTCACCCACCCCCATATTCAAACCACGCATCACGTCCACACCCATCAACTCCACCGTGCATCCACCTCTTCCCGATGGCAACTATCCCTCCAACCGCACACCTAGGTCTACCCTCACTTCAAGCCAGGTATTCCCCAACACCATTCCCATGTACTCATGTCTCAGATCCTTCTCGTCGTTCCCCAACCCCCACCCCCGCACCCATGACGTAACCAACGCGCCACACCCTAATGAAAATAACATTTCATCTTTTTTTCAATATTTGCTGTTATTATCAATTCGCTGTTTGGAGGACGGGCTTATACCCTGTTCATTCATTTGCAAATTGAGGTCAAAGTTGGGAATTGAGCTAATTTTTCACAATCAGTACAAAAACACAATTACCTGTTTCTAGTCGAACCCCTATGGGCTCAATTTGATAATACCACTTCTTACCTTCAATATGGTCATTTTTCCTCCTCTTCTCCCAGAGAATCATTCTTGTGGTTCAACTAGCAATTTTATAAACTTCAGTATATGAAGACCAAATGTGTTTGTCAAAACTTACTTCGTCCATTTGCCAATTTTGATAAAAAATGGATGATGTGAACAAACCTTCAACCGCACCCCAGGTCGCCCCCACTTTAAGCCAGGTATCCCCCAACTCAATCCCCATGCCCAAATGTCCAACGATCCTCCTCCCCGTTCCCCACCCTTCGCATTCATACCTCCTATCACGTAACCACTCCGTCATACTCCCAACCGCGCCTCCTCCTCCCCTTGATGACAACGGTCGCTCCAACCGTGCCGCCGGTCTCCCCCCTTTACAACTCAGTAATCCCCCAACACAACCACCATTACCCCATGTCCAACGATACTCCTCCCATATCGCAATCCCCCACCACTTACACTACCCATCACATCCCTACCCCGCCAAGTCCAAAACCGCACCACCTCCTCCCCCTGATGAAAAATGTCCTTCCAACCGCACATCAGCTCTCCCCCACTACAACAATGATATCCCCCAATCCACGATCCCCCATGTCCGAAGATCTTCCTCCCTGTTACCCCAACCCCACATTTAAATCACGCATCACGTACATGCCCCGCCACATCAACCCCTACGTACCTCCTCCTCTCCCTGGTGACAGCTGTCCCTCCAATCGCACCCCAGGTCTCCCACTACAACCCAGGTATCCCCCATGGCCGATGATCCGCTCCCCGCCATCTTCAAAACACGCATCATGTCTACACGCATCAACCCCACCGTGCTTCCACCTCTTCCTGATGACAGCTGTCCCTCCAACTGCACACCCAGGTCTTCCCTCACTTCAAGCCAGGTATTCCCCAACACCATTCCCATGCACCCATGTCGAATATCCTTCTCGCCGTTCTTTCCCGCCATATTCACACCCGCACCTGTGACGTAACCAAAGCGCCGCATCCTGCCACTGCGCCTGCTCCTACTGATGACAACAGTCTCTCCGACCACATTCCAGGTTTCCCCCATTTCAATCCAAGTTTTCCCCCAACATAACCCCCATTACACCTATGCCGACGATCCTCCTCCCCGTTCCCCTAAATCTTCACACATACTATCCCTCACGTGCCCACCCCGCCGCATCCGATCATTGCCTCTCCTCTTCCCCTGATGACAAATGTCTCTCAAACCACACCCAGATTTCCCACTACAACCCAGGTACTCCCAACAAAATTCCCATCCCCCATATCTGACGATTGTCGTCCTCGTTCTTTAACACCCACTTTCAGACACCCCCACGATCGAGCCTGCTTTTCTACTTGTTGACAACTGTCCCTCCAACCGCATACCAGGTCTCCCCCATTTCAACCCAGGCATCGCCAAACACAACCTTATTTCCCCATGGCAACGATCCTCCTCCCCATTCCCCCAACCCCTAACTCACACCATCCTTCACGTATCCACCTTGCCATATCACCTCTTCGCCCCTTCTCCTCCGCCTGATGACAACTGTGCCTACAGCCGCATCCCAGGTCTCGCCCTCTCCAACCAGTTATCCCCCAACACAACCCATACTCCACGCACTTCCGACGGTCCTCAGCTCACCCCCATTCCCCTACGACACCACCCATCACTTCCTTAACCCGGTGCATCTCCCCCTGATGACAATTGGTTCTCCAACCGCATCCCAGGTCTCCACCTCTTCATCACAGTCATCCCCCAACACAACCCACATTCCACACATTTCCAACTATCTGCAGCCTCGTTCCCCCACCACACGTTGACACCACCCGTCACGTCTGCATCCCACCATATTTCACCGCGCCTCCTCTTCCCCTGATGACAACTGTACCTCCCTCCAACCGCACCTCAGGTCTCCCCTTCTTCAACCCAGTAATCCCCCAACCCAACCCACATTCCATCCATTCCGCCGATTCTCAGCCCCGT